AGGATGGATAGGAGATCGTTGCATAGTTCTAGGAATAAAAGGTGTCTTGAAATCGGACAAACTGCTGCCCCTCGACCTGTAACACAGGGCGTGAGTCCCTGCAACAAGCAGAGAGAGCTTGGGCACACTTCGGCGAGGCTGAAAATAGCGAACGGGAGAGAGGAAAGGGAACCCCACAGACACCAAAACCACGGCAAGAGATAGCACGGCCATTTTTTTTTTTTTTTTACAACGCGAAGACAAGGTGAATGTCGCACCGTGTTGGAAGGGTCCTTCCACGCCCCCATCTGGACAGTGCGCTGAAACCGAATGTTGATGGTGCTCCCGATATGCCGCTCGATTGCGCTCAGTGCACCCTCCAGTTGCCTGCCGGAGTGGTTCGAAACGGCGTGTCAATTACGGCTGGTATATACAACGAAAACAACAATATTCATCGGTGGTCACGGAACTGGGGAATCCGGGGAGGGGGGGGGGGGGGGGCGCAAGCCATCCCTTCGCTTTTTGCCGGAGGCCAGGGTTTCAGCGGCACAACACACCAACACCAGGCCTTTCTTGTGTTGCGTAATTGCTTGCGCGGGAAACAGCGAAAAACACAGCCCATGCTCGAGAAAACCACACTCTCCGCACGTACACCCACACTTGTGCACCCCCTCCTGGCTGCTTGAGCTGGCACAGTACTCAAAATTGGTTTCACGGAGACCTCTCTTGAGCAAGGGAGACGTTTGGCAACGATGTCTACACGAGGATACGAATGACGTGCGTATTGTCCGACAAGATTAATTTTCCCTCTTCTTCTCCACACCCGGCAAAGTATGCTTCCATGCCAATCACGGAATCGTTTGCGTGCTTTGGTGCAGATAAGCCAGTCCTCGCTCCTACCGCAAGCCAAAACACGTGAAACAGCAGAAAAAAAAAAGGGCCAAATTACTCACGGCAGCGACGCGAAAAAAACGAGCACGTTCCCACCCACCTTTCATTCACCTTCTCCGTCTCGCTGCAAAACCACACACCCGTGCCCCGAAAACAAAAAAAAACAGCAGCAATACTAGCACCACCCGGACTATACCTGTAGGGCCACATGATGTTCCCGATGGAACTGCTCACAGCCACCACTGTGTCCCCGCATTCCACCGCACCGCTCGATTCCGCGGGGCTCCCCGGGACGATGCCCGCCACGACCACGCTGTCCGCCTGCCCGCTGCCGGCGGGGTCCCACACCTGCTCCAGGATGAGCCCGGGGGGCCTCTGGAGTGTAACCTCGTACGTCTGGGTCACCGACTCGCGGAACCTGTTTCTCGGGAATTTTGTTGGGGAGGGGAAAAGAGGGGTGTCATGAGTGGGTGAAGTTCAGCTTACCAGGGGCAGGGGGAGGGGGGCGTGATAAGGTTGGGGTGTCTCGGGTCCGGATTGGGCAGGTCTGCAGCAGAAAGGGTGGCAATCGTACCCAGCTTGCACGAGGAATACAACGAACGACAAAACAACAGCAAGACTGCCCCCGTGGTTGTATCAGAAGCGCGCAACAGCCGTGTCAGCCCCGACGAGGGCAGTCAAGTCGCCGCCTGAAGCCTGCTCAAGCGACGTTCCATCGAGCTTATCCTCGCATCTCAACCCCTTCCCGCGGCAGATCCCCCCTGGCTGCCCTCAACGCCTCCCACGACAAACGAAAAAAAGAACAAAAAATATATTTATCACCTCGCCGCGGCCAGTTGCTGTGCGTCAAGCGCTCTCTCGACCCGCAGCGTGACGGTGTTGGAGAACACGAGGCGGGTGCCCACTGCCGAGAGTATCCCGTCCACCGTATTCTTCTCCCACAGGACGTCTCCAAGCGTGGCGCTCGTCGCCACGATCCGGTCGCCGGCTCTGAACAACAGTAGTGCAAGAAAAAAAATAAAGTAAAAGGACAAACGGGCTCTCGACTGTTCAACAGCCGATGCACGTAGACGAGGCAAAAACAAGGGGTCTCGAAAGATGCAAACCGACGAGGTACTCAAATCCCAAACGAATTGAAAAAAAACACTGAAACACACGGCGCGAATGTCCCCCCTCCCCCCCCCCAACCCGACACGTCATTCATGCCGTGAAAAGCAGTTAAGCACCCAACGCGGCACATCCACTGTTGCAAGCGTCGCGATAATGTATCCATGATGACAAACTTGCGCAAAATCTCTACATACCCCACCCCATGCGGGACCGTGGCGGATACATCAGACGTACCGGACCCCCTGTCGCTCCGCGCTGCACCCCGCTCGGACCCTAGACACGCAGACACCCCCGCTGCACTCCGCCAGGTCAAGGCCTAGCGGCTGACAGGCGATATAGTTCCAGGCACGCGCGGGCAGAAATCAATGGGATCAGCCGCGGATATGAGACGGAAGGCCTCTGAGGGTTAGACTGGACAAACCTCGAGAGGACTGGGCGAGTGTTACAAACACGTCCGGAATGAAAGGATACATATTGACACATGTAACCTGGTACAATCATGTTTACAGCGTATCTGCACCACGGTACTAACCAGGAAGCTTGTTCCCACTTAACAGCTGCTACGGTATTTACAAAAGTTGTTATCTGTTCCTTGTCATGTGAGATACACCCGTGTGCCGATGACACCTTCTTTCGAGGTATTATTGTGGAAGCGAACACCAAAGAAACTAGGGCTTTGTCCGGGTCTTGTGTGCGAGGATTGCGGCAAGCCGTGGCACCTGGCATGAATCAGCACGAATGCGTCAAACCTCCCGTCCCATTCGACAAAAATATAATACTTCTGAAAACTGACACAGCGGCAAGATCTGGCGGAAGCGAGTACGACACAAACGGTGACAGTTGTCTTAGTCAGTGCTGCTGTGTTTGTTCGTCCCATCTATTCCTGGGCCGTCTACGACCTCGCCCTTCCGTGTACACCAACAACCCATGATGCATGTTTGACGTGTCAGCCCGGGTTTACGCAGGAGGGTCACACAACAGTGTTCTTTCTATTTTTTTTTGTGCTTTTGCCCCGCCTCTTGCCACGGTCGTTACCGTCATCTGTCGTGAAAGGTCACGTCGAAGAACATGCACGCTGACGATATCTCAACGATTGTTCTCGATCCCGAGAGAGGTGGTCGAACGCCAACCTGGCTACTATTATAGTAGGTTCCCGAGGTTACCGCCGTGGCGACCGTCTGGGCGTAACGACAAGCGTTGCAGGGCGACCAGCAGTACAATGTCATTCTCCACCGTCTGACCGTTTCGACACGAGTCTTGCCGCTCCCTCGCATGACTCACCGTGCATCCCGGCAGCACGGAACAACGCCCACCCCCGCGAAGCGCTACAGCATACATAGCGCGGTGTGTCACCCTTACCATTGCTACCACGGCAAAAGAAAAACCGTGAAAACACACACACACCGCAAACGCTAACCTGCTTGACCTTGACATCTCCTGTGTAAACGCCGCGCTTCAGGTCGACGCGCCAGACGGGGGCGGTGTCCTCCCGGCGGCGGAGGGTAGCAGCGGCCGCACCCCCGCCGCCGTCCCACGACCCCTGCCCGTTCTGCTTGGGCGCCCACGAGTAGACCTCGTCCTCTTCGGACGCGGCGGGGTCCGAATGGGCCCCGATGTCGGACTGCGAAGACGCCAGCGGCGTGCCGTCGCCGCCGCCGCCGCCGCCCGTTCTCTCGTCGTGTTCCTGCCGAGCTGCCTTACTCCCCCGCTTCCAGGACTCGTCCTGCGGCATGAAATCACCCGAAAAGCCTCCAGCGATCATTCGCAGCCTGCTGCTAGCTGCCGCAGTGCTGCTGCTGTCGCCGCCATCGGCGTCACCGCTCCGATCGCGCAAGCCCCCGCGGAGAAGAAACCTGGTCGCCCGGCTCCTGACCCCGGCCGTCACGGCGGCGGCGCCGTGCTGTGTCATGTCCGAGGCCAGGCGGCGGCAGCCAGCTGCGGCCCAGCGGCCGATGGGCTCGGCGATGCCTGCCGGCGAAGCGAAGGCCGCTTCTCTTCGGTGGTGGCGATGCAACGACGCGCTCCTGCTCGCCATGCGCGAGGACGGGATGTCCCGAGAAGATGAGGCAGCGGTAGCAGCGGCGGCGGAGGCAGCTGCGGTCGACGAGGCGAAGAGCACGGTCGTCGCCAGGCCCGAACCTTGCCGGCGTCGCCTGCTCCCTCGCGTGACGCTCCTGCTGGCGCTGCTCGACTTCTCCCGCTGCGCCTCGTCCTGGTCTCGTCGTCGAGGACGTCGTCGCCGCTCTACCTTCGTGGGGCAGCAGCAGCAGCCTACTGGGCTTGTTGCGCTCATCATCGGGTCTGCTGAACTACAGGAGCAGCAATAGGGCGCCGCTGCTGCAACACAAGTACCTGATGTTGAGCGTCTATGATACTGCTCATGCATGTGCTCTTCTTCGCTGAAATGTCTCCTGGGCTGCTTCCAGCGGGAGGACCAAGCTTCCTGTCGGGGATGGGCTTGCGTCTGCGTCATGGTCGGATTCTGAAAGTTGAAGCTGCCGATACGGCCAGACCTCGTCGGTCTCTCTGTCTGCTGAGCAAAGCGGTATGACTCGAACCTGAGATCTGACGCGGGGGGCACACAGAAGCAAACATAACCTCCCCTAGATCATCCCCCGGGGCCCCCGGGAGAGCGGTGCAACCATGCAAAGCAGCATCGCAGCATCCATCATGATCATTCATTTAGCCCATGGGTCCTCCATACGTCGTCGGAGTAGATGGGGGTACGGAGGGTATACGTGCTGGCGTGTTCGACCTTGATGGAAATGCCTTGGCCTTCTCCAGCTGCGCGTATGCAACGCAGTACCCGCAGCCGGGGTGGGCGGAGCAAGTGAGAATGTTCAACACCAAAATTTGTTTCCAATTTGAAAATCATCCACGTTCCGCCTTGCAGCAGCGAGTGCAACATGGCGGTTGGCGCATGGTCTTGGGCAACGTCGGGGTGTAGAAGTATGAAGGGCTGCAGGCATGAAAACAAAACATGATGCAAAGTACCAGGTACCGAAGGAAGGCGCGGCGCATCTTTCGTGTGACCGCGCGGCTCCGTGTCATCGTGTATGTATGTACACAGTACAGCGCTTGAAGCTGGAGGGTGGCTCCATTGGTGTTGATCACTATTTAATCACAACCTTAGCCGGGAGATTTGTCCTTCGTGCAACTCCTGTGCGTCATACAACCGTTCACGGCGAAACCACGCCGGTGGGTGGAGAGGGTGCTTCAAAGTGTATCATTCATGTCTGCCCCTGCCCATCAGCTACAATTCGAACCGTGAACCACAGCTACCTGCCGGATATCCTTGTTATTAATAAGACGAACGGAATCACGACTCAGTTATGTCCGCTCATGACCACGGCGCTCAGGCGGTAGCTGTCCAGACCCGAACAAAGACACTGCAGTATGCATCCCCTGGCGTAGCCCATGAACCGAGTGCATTCCCCGCCGGCGACTTATAGGCTGCATACCAAGCGTGACGACGGCGGAAAACCGTGTGTTTATTCCGCGTACCGTATATCGGAGTTTAGTAAATATCACAGGAAAAGACAGATTTAGCAGGCTTGAGGTCACAGATTGACGCGTGCGTCATGCTCCTGAAAATTACTCTGAAATGGCATTGCTTGCATTTCACCCGCTCGCACAAGCATCAAGAAAAACGAAGCACCCAACGCATAAACAAAAACAACACCGCCAATCCGATAGCATCCGTAGTACAAACCTCCTGCTTTTTTGTTTGCTGTCATGGTAACGGAAGGTTGCGGCGTGTCCCCAAGGCCCTACCCAAATACGTCCGGTCGTCTCGGAAGTGTTAGACTTGTTTGTCATGTCTTGCGACAACAACAGCGGAATATCATTCGGCCCTCTACGACGTCGGCTTCGCCCTTGGGCGACAGGAAGACAGGCACCCCCCACCTACAGCAGTACTGCTGTAGTACAGGTCTAGGTCTCACGCCCAGGGGGGGGGGTTGTACGTGGTGCCTCCCTGCCCACGGTACTGCTTGTATCCGAGGCGAGCGCGTCGTGAGGCACGATGCAAACCGAGAGTGTGGGATCCTGGCAACCGTACGTCTCGGTTTCGTCCTCACCAACCTCGCCGTGTACCATGCCAGCACGCCGACTTTGGTGTCGACGAACAAAAGAGTCTTACGCCATCTAGTAGGGCCCCGCAAACTCGGCTTGCAACGTACCGCACGGCACACTCTCCCGGCAGAAGCAGTGCGGTGGACAGGTACGGCACTATGCATAGATTCCCTCTGGGTGTGAGACCTACAGTAGACCTGTACTGCTGTAGTTGGGGCGTTCGGACAGGTCTAGGTCTGTACTGGCTCTCTCCCAATTGTTTGTACGTACTGACGATGTCTTTCATCCACCCACCCGCTCCAAATTTGATAACAAGGATCCTGACGCGTGGTGGAAGGGGCTAGGAGAGGCCGTGAGGGAGGCCGTGTCCAAGTCGGCGGTGTCGGCGGCGGACATCGTGTCGATCGGGGTGGACACAACGTGCTGTTCCGTCGTGGCTCTCGACGCCAATGTGAGAGAGCGGTGGGGGGAGGACGGCACAGGCCGAGATGTGGGGGGCAAGGAGACATGGGGAGGAGGGAGGGAGAGAGAGGGGGAGGGATACATGCTTTCCCGTGGTATCATTGGCAAAGGTTCCTTTTGGTGGTTTGAGTCTTTTTTTTTTCATCTTGTAGAGCGAAAGACCGTTTTGACTTCGCCTGCACGTCAACCTTCCACTTGAGAACAAGAAACAGTCCAACGAGACTACAGCAGGTGTTCCGCCGCCAACACCGCTGCATGAAAGAAAACGTGTCATCGCCGTGCCCGCTGCCGCTTACCCCTCCTGACCAACCTCAACCCGGGGCAACTGACGCGTACCAATAACACGTCCTCGTGCGTCGAAACACCAGGGCCGTCCCCTACGACCCTCCCTCCTGTGGATGGACATGCGATCCGCGGGCTGCGCGGAGCAGGTGGCCGAGACCGGAGACGACGCCTTGAGGGTAAACTCCGGGGGAAGGGGCCCCGTGTCTGCGGAGTGGATGATCCCCAAGGTTTGTGAGCTACAGTAGCTGCCTTGCTTCGGGACCCCGGGGTTTGTTTTTCTCACTCTTTTTTTGACGTCGGACGAAGAGAAAGGGTTTTGCTTACCGGTTGGGATTGATGTCAGGGGAGGAGGAGGTGCTGGTTCGTGGAAACCAAGCCGGTTCATGATTCGAATACGTGTTTCCAACCGTAACCACTATTATTTTTCTTTTGGACCGCCACAGCTGCTGCTGCTGCTGCTGCTGCTGCTGGAATAATTTCTTTGTTGTTTTTTGTTAATGGGGGGCTTTCGTTCGAGGAACTGCTGTGTGCAACGGAGTTTCTTGATGAAGAAACAAAAAACGGCAGCAAGTGTTCGCAACGGCGGCCTAGTTGCGTTGCCCTGGCTTGGGCTCCCTCGATATCAAACGTCGCCTCCTCCATCGCCCCTTTCTTAAATCCCCCCCTGTATCCTCTCTGTTGTTCGCCAGGCGCTCTGGCTCAAGAAAAACGAGCCGGAGCTGTTCGCGCGCGCGCATTACGTTTGCGAATACCAGGTAACATCGGAATGCGCCTTCGCCTGTCTTTCGATGTTTATTTACGTCCGTTCGTTCACCCAGCCGCTCCCCTCCTCTACGTATATGGTGAAAATACGGCATTCGACAACCAAGCAACGCCTCCTCTCGTTTTGCTGGTCATTCCCCACCCCCAACGCCCATTTTCGCGGTGTGGAAAACCACCTCGGTGCAGTTATACAAAGATGTTGCAAGGTTCTGTTCACGGTCGGTTAGTCTCGATAGTGCTTCCCATCACCTGTCGCTGACCCCCCCCTCCCCCGGCTGAGGAACCTTAAGACTGTCCTTCGCACTTGGGGACGACGAGTGCTTCAAAAGACGAAACGATTAACCCGGAAGACGTGCAGAGCATGCTGAGAGACCGACACTCTCAAGATTAGGCGAAGCAACGTGACCCCCGCGCGCTCCTTTCCAGACGCACGAATGGTGGCCAGCTTCTGGTCCATCCTTGCTAAACGTAGCCTGGGCGCGCGAAAACCCGGCGTTCGACTCCGTCCCGACATCGTAAAGGATGCGAGGTCAATGGTCTACCGACTACGGCATGCATTTACATGAGTTCGCGCCCCCTCCCCCGCCCGGCTCTCCCTATCCTTTTGATATCTCCCAGGACTTCATCAATTTTCGTCTGACCGGGCGCATGGTGGCCTCGGTCAACAATGCCTCGATTCGGTGGCACTACTCCACCACCCACGGATGGCCGGTGTCGCTTCTCGAGAAACTCGACCTCGCCGATCTACAGGTACAGAATGGGTTCACCTTTAATAGCTACCGAAGAGAAAGAGAAGAGAAGATCAGAAAGTTCACAGCACAACGGGTGTGACTGGAAGAAATGAAGAAGAAAATTGATTGTTACACTGGAAACCTTGTTTTCAGGGAAATTCGTCATGGTTGGCGCCATATCTACGGCCATATCGACGGAAGCACACCGCGTAACCCCTGGGGGTTTCATATATTGGACCTTTGGTTCGTTGCCGATGCTCCCCCGGCCAACTCAGAGCTCTGGCCATACACCAGACCCTTTTTTTTTTCGGTTGGGTGGTGGGGGGTGCTCGAAGGAGGGTAAGGTGCCTCGTGAGCCTTCTTGAGGCGGGTGTCCTGCCGTATTGTCGAACATATATTGGTATCCTTTGTCGTGACGCGTATCGTATCGTATCGTGTCGTATCGTATCGTATCGTATCGTATCGCCTTCGCTCGCAGTACGCACCTCTCCTGCGATCTCGCCTCTCTCGGCTGAAGAGCCCCGCCTGATCCACGGTGACTCAGGAAGACTGCCGATTTCGTAGATGCTGTGTTTTTCTTGTCTGCCCAGCTCTCACGGCATGTTGTACGAAATACCATATGGATCGACTTTAGGAGCGGTCTCCACGTTTGGGCATCACTGTAGTGGTGCATTGCTACTACGCTACCGCGCCCGAGACCTATCGCAGCATGCCCTGGGTATGATACCTCCCTCTATCGTCTTTGCGAAACCCCAAGGGGAAATGGCCGCAGGAAGTGGTTGCCCTTGGCAGTGTCGTGGGCGGAATCTCCGCTGCGGCGGCGCAGCACCTGGGGCTGCCGGAAGGTATCCCCGTCGCCCAGGGAGGCGCTGACGCGTTCGTAGGCATGGGTGAGATGGTTTTGCGGTAGGGGATGAATGTGCAGTGCTAGCTAGGGTATGATGAGGCCGGACCTATGTCGCTGAAGGAGGTAGGTACACGGTAAGTTCATTGTTTCTGCTGCTTTCTGTTGTGGGGATTGTTTACGGACACATGGCCACCACCCGGATACTTGATGTAAGAGCCCGCTTGCTGTTTTCGTGAGCCCGCGCGACAAGCCACGTGGTCTCACCGCTACAATCGCTCATTGCTCACGTTTGGTCGTCTACCAGAACCCGCTTGCAACACCACCGCCCATGCAGCCACAATATATGGACGAGGCTCATGCTGCCTGCCCCCGTCTTTCTCGTCCTACAACCTTGACCCACCTTCCTGTCGCTTGCCCCTTCGGGGGCGTCGATTGATTTGATTGGTCGGTCCATCGCCGCGGGTAGTCGGCTTGGGCGTGGTGAACAGCGGAGAGATGGCATTGCTCACGGGCTCGTCCCACCTACACCTGGGCCTCACCCACGACAGGTAGGCGCTCCTGGAGGGGAAGACGGCGTTGATTTTGTTTTATTTAGGCCCGGGAGGGGCAGAAGGCACTATGCTTTTTATTTTTGAGATGGAAAAGAAAGGGTCCTTGTAACGGATAGGATTCGTTCGAGCGGCATTTCGGTTCGATGGTTTCTTTGCACGAGGCAGCGGCTGTTGCCAGATCCCAGGCAACGTTTGTTATTGCCTTTCTGAGCGCGATGTGTTCCCGCCGTCCCAACTCTTGTTTTGATCGTGGTCGGTGCTTTGGCGCTGTAACAGCGCAACCGTGACTTTGACGATACGCCCCCCCAGCCTCCTGCATTGGCATTTTTCTTCATGTACATGTTGTGCTGCTAAAAAGAAAAGCTCATGTGTGTTGTATTTCCTCGTCCGTCGCCCCCCCTGGTGGTACGTCAGAGTTCGACGCCGAAAGGGGTGTAGACTGACGCTAGAATAAATGGGACGAGCACCACGTACACACACACACACCGCCCACTTTTATTTTCTTGCCGACCGGAAGACTGGCGCCTTTTATTCATTGGTCAGCCGGCTAGCGTGGTCGGTGCTATTGCATGTAACACACGCAACACACACACAAGCACACACACACACTACACCTTTGTTCTGCAGCTTGAAGTATACCATCTGCTTCATTCACCTCGAAGACCACGACCCTCCGACAGACACACACCCTCCGCCCGCACCTTACCACACACACCCTGTCGCAAACGGCCCCGCTGCCGCGCGGCGCAGGCACTTGCACGGCCCGGGCATGTGGGGCGCTTACCCCGACGCTGTGCTCCCGGGGCTGGGGGTGGTGGAGGGGGGGCAGACGTCTACCGGTAGCGGGATCGCGTGGTTCCGCCGCCTGGTCTCCGGCGGTGAGTCGGGCTGCAGAGGAGGGTCGTTGAACGTGCACGGGGTGGGTGGGGGGGGGGCGTACTCTTATGTTTAGCATGCCTTACATGATACTGTACGGCCATTGATCACGGGTCCTCGAGAGGACGGAGCATTGTTCCCGAAGGACCGATCATCGATGGCCAATCGTTCCTTCCTATTTTGCACGCGGTGGGGGGGGGGGGGCGTACTCTTATGCTTTGCATGCCTTAGCGGTTAGACCGTTGACCACGCGTCCTCGAGAGGACGGAGCATTGTTCCCACAGGACCGATCACCGATGGTCAATCGTTCCTTCCTACTTTGCCAAAGGTGGCTCAAAAATTTCTTTCCTAGTCTGTCTATCCTACCGATGTCACTTCCCGCTTTTTCAAACCACTTTCTACTCCCCAGTACCGCTACCGTCCTCTCCTCTCTATTCCATGCCTCAAACATCTCCCTGTACGTCCCTTGTATTCTTCCCAGCTCAGTCATGTACACTTCCCTCTCCTTTTCGTACCACGGACATTCCGCGACTACATGAACACTGTCTTCGCATTCGAAGCCGCAATCGCATTTGAACTTGTCGTCTTCGTCGTCTACCGTCCTATGTCTTCGTCGACGTTCGCGAAGGCCTATGTCCCCGGTCCTGAATTTGACCTTAAGCTTTGTCCCTGCATCCATTGGTCCATGTAGGTAATCCTTGAACCCTATTCCTTCTTTCAACATTCCGTACACTTCTAGACCCTCCTTATCCTTGGTTTCTTTCCTTAGATTCTGTTCTTCTCTCTCTGCACGCGGTGGGGGGGGGGTAAACGCATGCCGTAACCGTTGGATCATTGACCTCGCGTCCTTACGATGCCGGGAACAGGAGCGATACGCCGGGTTTTTCGCCCGCCTAGGCTGCGTTTCACAAGGATTAATGGCGGTCGTCTTTGCATTTGCTGTGCCGGGGGTGCGATAGAAGTGAACGGAGCCGTAGGGTTTCGGGGTCAAGACTGTGGCAACGGAGGGAATCGTCCACGAGACAAGAGGTTGGGGGGGGAACAAAGCGACCGTTCTTGAAGACCGTCTCCACACGATAAGCATCCACTGCAGCTAGCGGATGGATTTGTGCACAGCAGTGTGTGGCCTTTTGGCCGGGAGGGCTGCCGCGAAAATCCACTCGCCAACATTCCTGTGTGTTGCGTTTCGGCGCGTATTTCGAGCATCTCCTTTTGCACACACGCACACATAAGAGACGAACGCTTTCCTTTGCCTCCGCTACCGCCCCCCTCCCCTGTCTCTCTCTCCCTCTTTCTCTCTCTCCCCCCGTGCTCGTGCCCATCGCCTTTGCTCCTACTTATCTCCCTATTTCCGTCAACCTTCTACGGCAAGCCTAGGCGGAGAGGGGCTGGTCTCGTACAAAACGCTAAACGAGGAGGCGGAGGCCGTGCCCATCGGCAGCGAGGGGCTGGTGCGTACCACTCTATTGGTGATTCTTTTATTTTATTTTTTTGTGCTATCTTGGTGGTCATTTTTTTGTGTTGTGTTGATGCTCATGCTCTTCTTGAGCTCTTTCGATGGTGCTCATTTGGATGCTATTGGCGGTTATATTTTTGGCGCGCTCTTTTTTGTGTTGTTTTTATGCTCCGTTGATAATCTTTTGACGCTCTTTTGTTGTGTTGCGTTGATGCTGTTTTGCGACGAACGAGTGCAGTCATGAGCGGGGTATGTGTTGTGTTGCAGCGTGCGCTGGTTTCGTCGCACTCGTCGCACCACCGCCAACACACCAACATCACCAACATCACCACCGGCAGCTCTGCCCATCCGCCTCTTGAATCAAGACCGTTCCAAACAGCTGCATGGTACAAGCCCCCCCCCCCCCCCCCCCCCC